TATATATATATATATATATATATATATATACACACACACACACATATACATCTGTTACAATTGGCAGTGTATTTTGCATTAAAAGACATGAGTAATCTTTATTGTCAAATTAGTTGTATTTTGCATTGAAGCGAGTCAAATCTTGTATTGTCAGATGCCTTGTATTTTGCATTGAAGCATGTGAATTATCGAGTGCATCTTGCTTTCGCTCAAGTATGCAAACTTTTCTCAGAGACTCTAAGAAAATTTGCGTTGCCCTCTTTGTGAATACCATCGATGCGCAAAAACACTGTCAATAATGCTGCTCCTGGTTTGAATAGTCCTCAAGTTCACTAATGCGTTTGAAAAAAAAAGCATTTGATTTTCATCAAGATTTAAATCTTGCAAATCAACCAGAATAGTAATGTTGAGGTGATTTCCATGTATTTTTTGGCTAGTAAACTGACCCTTGGTGCTGATGCCACGTAGGTCAGTGATCTTCATCAACATGCGAGGGAACATGTGAGGTTTGTTGGGTCGGCGGCGTCGTGCATAGATCTTCAGAGCTTCCAGAAGGGGCTCCTGCAGACGATCTACACGCTCAGGCTCTTCAAGATCCATTCGGTCTACAGAGAAAGAGGTTAATATTAGTATAGTAGTACCTCCATCCATTTTTAGTGGTTAAAACCAATTCTGAATACTAGCTAAATCTCTGTTAAATGTGTACATTTTTCCTGTTGCTTCGTCTAGGTGGCAGCAGTGTTGCAACAAAATTGCATCATGTCATACCTCCACAAATGAGGCAGATGGCGCTGAGGAGGCCAGTCTCCGTATCGTCCATCTCAAGGGGCAGAAGCTGACCAGCAAAGGCAAACACCAGGTCAGTGAGCGGACCGAAGCCAGCATTATGCATCTGAGTCCGGTTGAGGGTCAGTCCATCTGAAAAGGTCATTGTGTCCTGCTCCGGTGTGTATCGCGTGCAGATTCGCAGCATCTGCAAGAGACACAGACATTTATGAGGCTAAGAATTATGTGAAAGTAATGAAGTAGATGTATGGTCTACATCAAGGTGAGATTCTTAAAGGAAGGCACACATACTAGAATGTCCAAACAGGCTGATTTAAGGAGGGTGATCTGATCTGCGATGGTGAGGGTGGTGAAGCCCGGAAGGCGTTTGGCAAATTCCACAATTTTAATGATGCACTTGGTGGAGAGCTCACTGAATTTGTCCCATAGGCCCAGGTCCAGCTGAACCCGGTGGTCTGAGCTTGAGTTCTGAGGATGCGAAAAGGAGAAAAAAGGTTAATATGTGTGCAAAATGAATCATGTATTCATCCACATGTCATTCCAAACCAATATGGTTATTTATTCCATGGAACACAAGGAGAAATTATGCAAAAAAAAAGTGAATTTCAGACTTTTCTTCACATTCTTCAACTTTTGAAGAGTTGGAATACAGCACATGAATTATATAGGCCACTTTAATGATAGTTTTATGGTTCTTTTTGTCATTTTGATGGCCCCAGTGCTCATTTACTTTTATTATATTGAAAAGACTGTCCAGGAAATTCTTCAGAAAGAAAAAAGTCATACAGATTTGGAACAACATGAAGTTGAATAAATGACAATATTTATCTTTTGGGTGCACTGTTCCTTTAAATGATGTTTTCAATAATGGAACATGTTTATCACACTACATCTGACATGGTTGGTTTACACCGCTATAAATAAATTCCACATTCCATTGCTGACAGATCTGCTCATTTTCAGAAAATACTCACTGTGGTGTATTTTCCCAGCTGGCAGAGTGAAGGGAAGGTCTCTTGATGTGCTTTGCTCACTTTGTTGACCAGCTCCTCCAGTTCCCCACTCAGCTCATAGCTCTCTGGTGGAACGACCTCATCCTTCACGTCCTTCTTTTTCTTATTTCGATCGTTGCGCACAGCTGAGAGTCACAAAGAGAGGCAGCTTAATAATTCTACAATGAGTTAGCTTCACTCACAAACTGTCAAACTATGATCTTAGTACTTGAATGCGCAACCTGGTGAAACTCTACAAAGTGATGTGCCAGAAAAAACTTCTGATGATTTCGAGCTTAATTCCTCAGAATGTCTAACCTGGTACAATGCAACAATTTGTTTTAATATACAATTATGTGGAACAGGATTTTAGCTACTCAGCATAACCAAGTGACCAAAAAATGTCCTGTTGGGTCAATCTCATAAAAACATGTCCAGGTGTCACATTTCACCCCAAAAATAAAATAAAATATTTTTTTTCTATGAAGCCTCTAATTACTGATCCTTATTTTTGAATACGATTTTAAATCATGAAAAATCTCAAAATTAACCCATTTATCACATGTTGCATTATCGCATCTTGCTTGGATAAGACACAATGTTACTGTATAACGAATTCCAAATGTAATCACTAATACATGGAAACTGACCTCAGATCAGACTCCGTGGGTGGCACAATGTGATCCCGGTCCCTACACACATCCCATACATATAAATGCACACATACATGTCCCAGCGGACCCATAGAGGGCCAATGTGCCACTATCCCCGTGACATCATCGCCGTGACCCTGGCAAATGAACAAACACATGCCCCAGACTCGGTCTTTCAACCTCGGGCTATTGTCTTTGTTCCAACACAAATCTGTTAGTGCCAAGTCATAAAGTGACTAGAGGAAGGGCTACCAAAGAAATCACACCTAGCGTTGATGGATTGATGTGGGTGAAACTTCAGACACGAAAACCCATTTGTGAAGTGAACATTCATATTGAGCTCTAACCTCCATGCTAACCAGCTTTATTGGTTTGTGTTTGAACTTTTATTTGTCTTTTGTGTCTTCAAGTGTCTCAAACTGGCGGTTTACAGTCGTCTACAGTTTGTTTATGCCTCTGTGTCCCGGCGCTCAAGTCTCACCACTCTAAATTTGTCTGTGTGTCTCTGGGTTGTATGTCTGTTTCACAGCTTCTAACCTATATCAGCGTGTCCCCGTCTGTCTCCTGTCCCGTCTCTATATTTGTGTTTGTGTGTGTGGGTCTTGGCAGAAGGCCAAGGAGCCCATGTGCCTTACAGAGGCCTGAACCCTCACCTTCCTTGGACATGCCAACCTCGAAGCACTTCTGCAGCCGGCAGTACTGGCAACGGTTGCGTGTGACCTTGTTGATCTGGCAGTTCTTGTCACGGTGGCAGGTGTACACCATGTTCTTCTGAATACTGCGACGGAAGAAACCCTGCAACAGACATCCAAGAGAGAGCGAGTAGGTCAGCTGAAGAGTAGGTCAACCACTGACCAGTAGGTCAGTATATTGTTCAAAGTTGCTGATCCAGAACTGTTTTTGCTAATGATGTCATTTTGTTCTGTTATATAAAAGGATAGTCAAAAATCTGATAAGTGATGGCCCTTATACCTGTGACCACACATTAACCGAATTAATCGAAATATTGTTATTGTGCCAAATTGTATTATTACTTACGGCAAACGGCTTAGAACTGGGTTAATGAAACTAACTAGACCTGTTCACACAGGACATGTTATTGTGTCCATTAAATTGTTTTTGTATGTAAACATGTGCTAGACAGTTTTTTCAGCATTCTGTGCCATGAAGGTCACATTTTTAAGATGCTGTGTCAAGTCAAAAGTTGTTTGTTTAACAAAAATAGACAAGACACTTCTTTTTAAACACATCCTATGTTAACTGCCCCTTACTTAGTTGAAGAATAATTTTTTGTATTTATTTTTTTATATTACACAAACACACACAATATCGGACAATTAATTTATTGGACGTTGGTATCTTTCATCATAATGCCACAGTTTTATATTGTTTTATGATGATTGAAAGCAATAAGCTGCTTGAATCTTGACCTAGTTGTATTTCACCACAGAGGTATATGGTACAACACATATTTTATCCCTTAAACATAGTAAAATTTCTGTATTGCATTGCTTTAAAGCTTTAATTGCTTTAAACCCAAAAATTAACGGTTTAATAAAGTGTTTGGTTACCAGCGTTCTTCAAAATAACCTTCAACAGTAGAAAGGAACTTATACAGGTTTGGAACAAGTGGAGGGTGAGGAAATGATAACAGAATTGTCATTTTTGGGTAAACTATCCCTTTAACATACTGTCCACATTACTTGGTGTCTCGTGTAGCTGATACTGCGCAACTGTATCCTTTTCAAGTGACCTTTTGTATGTTTTCATAAATATTTTTGCTCCCTGCACTACAAGTTCCTCAGTCAGTCTTAGTTTCTTGGTGTTGACAGGAGCGAAAATACTTTTTAGTATTCAAGTATTTTTAACATGCGAGAGCTAAACCTCCACGTCTCTCTCTGTATTTTTCACATGTTTGCCAAACGTCAAGACAAATTGTGTAACAGACTCATGATGAACATGAGATTCGTCAGGCCACAGGCGATGGGAGTTCTGCTGTTTACCTTGCAGCCCTCGCAAGAACTGACACCATAGTGGTACCCGGAAGACTTGTCCTGGCAGACGAAGCAGGGCTTGTAAACACGGGGCGGAGGTGGTGGAGAAGGGGAGCTGGGCACCATCTCCTCCGAACTGGTGCTCTGGGTCTCCACCGCTGAAGAGGAGAGAAAAGAAAACATCAGACGCTTCGTCTAATCACATCACTTCACACTATTTACACAACACAGGAGGATTTAATGAGAGGGAGATATTAAACGCCACATGGAGAGAAGAAAAGATCCTCCCGTGAACCTTTTAAACCGTATCTGATTTCAAAGACCCACGAGGGCTTTGAAAACCATCATGATTCCTCGCTAAACCTTTTTCATGATGCCCTCGAGCAGAAACACACAAGACGCTACCCATCGCCACTTTTTAAATCTGTTATTGCATGCGAAGCATCTGCCAACTAGGTAAAGTCAAGTCTAGTTAACATGTCTGTTGGATTCATCTCCCTATATCTCCGCCCCCTCCCCCCAGCCCACCCTGTCCTTAGGGGTCCAGGATTTTAAGGGATTAGGCTGCGGTGATTGACACTGGAAAGAAAAGAAAACAAACAGTTTAACACTAGCAGACAGATAAGCGGAGCCGATAAGACAGGTAGCTCATCAATGTCACAGCCTGGGGGGAAAACTCCACCCTGCATTTGGCGTCTTGCACGCGGGACGGCCGACTGACGCGGGACGAGTGTCTAATGTCTCACTAATTGTGATGTCAAGCCTTACTAACAGTAATGACTTGGGGTGTAACAATATCGTGGATGGCGACAATACGTATCATCTATAATCCACGCAAAAAGAAAGTTTAGACAGAATTAATTTAGCAGCAAATATGGTAAACCTAAAAGGTCACATATTTGAGCTTCCATGTTTATTAATTATTATCAATAAATTAAAATTAAACTACTTTTTAACTGTGATCATGTGTCTTACAAACAATAATTTTAAAAAAAGCCATTTTAAATCTATTTTGGCGTTTTTTTATAGTATCATGAGAGATTATCATGTAAAGAAACAAACTGTGACGATGAGTGTATTGTTACACCCCTAGTCATGACTTTGACATATCACACCAGATTAAACCCTTTATTTCACATTTGCACATGCCAAAGTCAACTTTTACCCTTGGTCGCTCCAAATTCAAACCCCCAGCCTTCACCCTTGCCATTCTTTGACACACAAACCCTATTTTTCTCTTGTTTCCCGGCCCTAAATTCCTCAGTGCAGTCCTGCTAGGTTTTAATAGAGGCCTCTGCTCGTAAGCTAGGCCTATAAAGGTGGTCTCATGGCTGGACTGGAGGCCCCAGCCCGGCTGGTGGGGTCTTTATTAAGACTCAGACACCTCGGGCAGCCATTCACACCACCAGCTGTAGCCTGAGCTAGTAAAAAAAAAAAAAACCAACAAAAAAAAAAAAAAAAAAAAAAAGGGGAGGCTCTAAACTTCCAACTTTTATTGCCCCACCTTCTTCAACCACCTTCAATGGAAAGCCTAAACTTAACCTACAACCCCTCCCTCGCTGTCCCACCACAGGGTTCAGCAAAAACCACCAGCTTGGCCTTTTGCAAGAGTTTGGAGACTTCAAAAGAAGAAAAGGGGGCATAAAAAGAGGAATTTGATAGAAAACAGAAAGAAAAAGACGAGGGTGGAGGGGTGAACGAGGAGAGGCAAATAGGCCCATTTAAGGTCGAGCTCACATACAGTAGGGCCTTCTGTTCATGGCCATGGTTACAAACAAATCGCTTATTCTTCAAGCGAGAGTGAGAAATGCAAAAGCTTTCTGAGTATATGATGTATAAAAAGGATAATTGCATTTGAACTAGCAACGTGCATGACATTTGTTTCCCAACTGTTGTGCAATGTCAAGTTAGTTATTTTTTTACTGGTCTACTTTGAAGTACGATAGAGGAATGTTATCAGAACAGGTTCCAGTTTAGTTTAGAATGACGAGCCAATATAGATACGATAATTTGGTGGTTCTCTTTTTTTTACCTTTTCAAATGAACAATTTATTACACAATTTTGAAAGAGATGTAAATAACTTTTACTCTCTTCATATTAACATGTTTTCCATGTTTCAAAGTAAAATGACTTGAATTAACAGAATACTGAACATTAAATTAAGATTTCTTAAGTTTTTGGATGTTCTTAATGCTCATTAACTGAATTCTGAAAATCACTCAATGATTTGATTAACAGGATATAATCAGCCCTGATCATTGGCTGTTTTTGTATGTCCAACAGCATCAATAATTTCTCAGCCGTTGCCGATTATTAGCCGATACGCAAGAATGCAAAAAGGCTATCAAACATAATAGGTCACATTAAAGTTATAATTCTTGTATAAACCCCAAACATGTATGCTATCACAACACATACATGTTTTGAATACTAAGTATACACTTTGAACTAAATGTTGCACAGCAGGATCAATGCTCTCCACTGAACCTAGCGTGAACTCATTTGTTTATATAGCAATACTGGCAATATGCTGGTAATGACAAGCGCCTGAAAAGGATCGCAAACTGCATGTGGCGTGAAGAAACAGCTACTGATTGACACCGTCTGAGTGGTTGAGAGTAAAAAAAATGGGAGGGGGGAGAGGGACAAAAATCCATCAGGATCTCTCAACAACCCGAGACGGTTCCTGCCGTAAAAACCCCGGTTGCTTTCCCTCCCTCTAACACCTTTTCCCAAATATCAGTCAACACTTCTCCCGGGGTGCACAATGGGATGGGTTCTTATGTCAGCCCAGAGGTCCTCTCTGCGTCCCCTCTGCTAAGCTCTCCTCTGTTTGGGAAACAAAGCGCTCTGAAATGAGAGGCCTCCTTATCAGCTCTCCAGCCAGGGACTTGATTTGCATCACAATGAGAAGGCAGAGGGCGGATGGCTGCTGATGGAGGGACAGGTAGAAGCCGACTGCAGTTATCAGTAGACACTGTTCATTTCCTGCCTGGTATTGCGTTTCTGTCCTGAACTGGTCTCTCTGTGTCCTCTGTACACAAGTATTCCAGGTGGACCGTCCTATGCTAATCCCAGTGTCAACCCAGACAAAGTGCCCCTCTGGTAGCAGGCAAAGTAAATACACAAATGCAAAAAAATGTAAAGATAAGTAAATATACGAACACACACAATGATCCAATGCTGGGAAAATATGTATACATACACACAACAGGGGTGTCAAAAACATAATATATTAATAAACATTTACAGTATTTATATTATAAAAAATATTATTATTAAAAATATATGTATTCAAATTATTAACATTTATTATTATTAAAATATATGTAATTAATAATTAAATTAATAATTAATAATTATTACATAAAAATATACATTTTAGATATATTAAAATAAGTAAAACAAATATTTAAATATATAAACATATGTATAAACATGTGCACATTTATTTATGTTACTAAAAATATATTTAATATTTTTGAAATATAAAAAAAAAAATTACCAAATTAAAATATTAAATATTTATAAATACATAAAACATAAATATAACAAACATGTATGTTTATATAATCATAAAACTATAATAAAATTTATAAAATGTAAACATTTAAATTAAACAATTAAACATTATTATAAAATATTAATATTTAAAATAAAACATAATTCTACATTAAAATATAAAGTAAATAATTTAAGTATTTCATGTTTATTAATAAACTTTTAGCTCTTAAATTAATACAATTAAAAAGTATCTAAATATTATCAATAATATTATTTATAATAATAATATTTAGGTGAGATCTAGTGGGTAAGTGTCAATGCCCACAATGCGGTGCACATAAACATGCATGCATACTATAAACATGTCATTGTTGCCGAAAAAAGTGGTATAGGTTCAAATCCATTTCCTGAAGAACTGACTTTGGTAACACAATAAACAAGTAGTGCAAACAAATCAGGCCACATGGGTAACAGGAAGTGAGCTGTGACCTTGAGTTTCTTTATTTTGGTTCAGAATGACAGTATAAAAATTAGCAAGTACACAAGTCTAAAAGGACAAAAAATAACAAGTGTAAGCTTCATGTGTTTTAAGTGTTGCAACACTACTTTTAGCTGAGCAGCATATGACGCATTGACTGCGGAACAACTATTCTTTCACAATAGAAGAGCAGATTTTGTGTACGTGACTGTGGGTGTGATCGAATCTTCAGTGGAGCTCTGTTCCCAAATCTAGTCTTGGCATGTGAGCGTGTGTGTGTTCAGTTCTGCATGGGCGCTCGTCCAACGAGTGTCTCTAAAGACTCCCATTTGATTTGCAAATATAGTTCTCTGCGTCTCAATTCCTCTTAAGTATTTCAGCGTGTATTTGTGTGTCGCTCGCTTTGCATTTCTCAGAACATAATCTTGCTTCCCTCCACTGAAAGCTCCATGATTTCGCCTTCGCCTCATATTACAGCCCCATACTGGCGAGTAGGGTGGACAGACTGCTTTGTTGTGCGTGCAGCCAGTGTGGCAGACGGGCCACAGATTGGCCAGGTTTTTTGGAGCGGTGTGATTGATAGACTGACTGGCAGGGCCCCCCTCTCTCTCTGAGCGGTGACTGATGGGCAAGGACACACAGCCCTCTCCTCTGGCTGCCAACTTCCTGATGAGGGGAACCGACCGTGGCTCTTTCTCTGTCTCTGTGTCTCATTGCCCACGGCTTCCTGCCCACAGCCAGATCCTCCTCACATGCTGTTGTCATCGTACCACCTCATACTACACAACCCCATTTCCTTCCTCTCCACCGCATCACTGTCTCTTTCCGCTGGATGTATTCTCACTGATTGCAGGCTTTATCTTAGTGAAAGCTGTTTTTCGACATTTGTAAATTCACATATTGCAGCGAGAGTAAAAATGTTGATGTATCGAGAGAAACAATCACTTAAACAGAGTCAAACTAATTCCAGATACTATTTTGTCAAGTACTTGGCAAATTTACAAACTAAAAAAATCCTGAAAAAACTAAACAAGCTGAAAATAAAATAAAATAATCAGTCAAACAAAGATCTGAACAATTTCCAGATGTTCAGATAGCCATATAGCTGAAAATATTTTCATGAAAATAAAAGAAAGGAAATATTTGGTTTGAAAGTGACTTCTATGTAGGAAATG